TATATATATATATATATATATATATATATATATATATATATATATTAGGAATGTCTGATACCGATACCCTATGTAAAGGTCATAGCATAATTCAGCAGACTCTTGTTCTCCTTTCCTCTGAATCTGTTTGTCATCATGACTTCTCTATGACACTGGGTGTAGGTATGTGTATGAGTGTTGTCGAGCTGCAGAATGCACTTTGGACCAATCACACGCCTCCACAACGGTACTGCACAATAGGAGAGTGTCTGCCGTTTGTTTCTCAGAATTTAGAGCACACCCTTTACGACATCTCCCTTATCAAAAGCGCTTCCCCCTACTGTATGGGCAAAGCATTCCAGACGGTAGCTGGTTGTCTTTGCATCCAACCAGTTTCTGCTGGCTCTGAACTGACATTTTCTTTCCTTTGTTTTGGTTTTCTTAGCTGACTAGCTTCGTCAAAAGAGCTTGAACAGCACACATCCAAACCACAATTTTACTGAAATCTTTGTCTGACAGGAACTTGACTCACACTGTATTTCTGCTTCCTGTTGTACTCAATCTTGACATGGTGTAGCACCTGTGATGCTGTAGTCCACAAACCGCAATCTGTTTCTCACCCACATTTGAGCATGTCCAATCTTAGCTATATGCTAAGAGTTAGCAACTGCATACCTACCTGGATAATACATATAACTCAATTTTTAAAGAAAAAAAATTCAGATTGCATCAAAGTGACATTTTAATTTTGTACTCAGCTGAAAAAAAAAAAACCTATTGTTGAAAAAGATTATTGTCATTTTCTCCTCAGTTTGTGCTTGAGTTTGAGTTGGAAAAAAGTTCCTGCCTCCGCTTTAGCAATCTCGCACGCACACACAATGACAAACACACAGAGGATGGAGACAAAAATGGGGACAAAATACTAAATAAAAATAGATCAGAGCGAGAGTCTCTCCCTGCCAATCACTCTCTGTAACCTCGTTTCTGGCCATGCTGTTTCCTTAAAGCCTCAAATCGTCAGAGGGGCAATAAAAACCCGAGCCGTCGGAAAACAGACTCGTTGTCTCTAATGTGGAGTCGTCTCGGGCCATGTTCCTGACTGCATATAAGGAAAAGGACATAGAGGGAGTCGACTGATGAAATCAAACTCCACTAATGATGTCAGAACGACACAAACATTGGCGAAGTACACATTTAGTTTCCAGCCAATGCAGTGACAAATTATGGATTTTCAAGCAAATAGTGTAGAAACTCAAGTAACCCTAAATACAAATATACATTTAAATATATATGTGTATGTATGAATATATTTTATATTTTATTTAATATATATACATATATTGTATATGTGTATATATATTTTATATATGTGAATATATGTATACATACATAATACATACATATATGTATCAATGTATATATGTATGCCTGTATGTATGTATGTACATCCATAGTTTAGATGACAATATGATATTAGCCTAGAAACAGACTGAAAATAGGCCAAAAATATATAAATAGACGAAAAATATATATATGAATACCAATAAACTAGCTAAAATGTAAACTAAAGCAATAGCAATTACGACCATAATTGTTATCATTTATCGAACGTATTACTTCCTTTTGCTTTTTTTTACTACCTGTTCCTTCGTTTCCATCTTTCTTTACCTCCTCTCTCCTCCTGCGAACCATCTGCACCAGGATTTACATCCAATCACACAGGCACGAACGTGTGTGAGTGTGCGTTTGTGTGTGTGTGTATCAGCTCATTAGCCGACATGATGGATGAAGTGAGTGCTGTTAAACAACAGTCAGCCCGGGACGTTAGCCTGGCATCGTACAGCTGGTACCGACTAATGGATTCATCGGTCCTGAAATGTTTGTTTGAAAATAAATGTGCTGGACTGTTGCGTGGGTGTGGCTGTGGGCTGTCAAACAGGCTCCCTGGACGCCAAGTCATTTTACGAGATAACAATACAGTCGAAATACCTTGAGATACGAGCATAATCCGTTCCGGGACCGAGCTCGTAACTCGAGGTGCTTGTATCTCAAATTGTTTTTCCCCCATAAGAAATAACAGAAAATCTAAAATACTCCCTTATTATTGCCAATAACAATGGAAAATATTAGTGCTAATAACAATGGAAAATGTTTTAACTGCTATAGAGACATACACACACAAAAAAAATTATAGTATATACTAGTACTATATAGACGATACAGTAGCAGCTAATGGCGGCATGTGCGGAGGCATAGACACTTTCCGTACCGTACCTTGCACGTACACTACGTAACTTACGTAAACTTAGAATTAACTTAACTTACATATATATTTTTATATATTTTTTTAAATTTGTTTTGCTTGTATTCTTTCTGTAGCGGGCACCATGCTCATATTTAGAGACAATTTCGTGCGTTTCTTCTTCTCACTACCATCCTTACCACTCACTCTCTTAGGACTCATCACTATTATGAAGAACAATGCACAAAATAGAGAGAAAATCACAAGTATGGAAGTCGACGAACACGTGAAGTGAACGAGTGAGGCGGCGTGGGTTGCTCCGAGTGCTCGGCCACCTAGCGTAGGTGTCTGTAGGCGTGCTCGTATCTCAAAGCAAAAATGTGCTCGAAAGCTTGCTCGTTTGTCGGGATGCTCTTATCTCAAGGTATTACTGTATATAAAAAAGTCATATATTCTTCGTTCACACATTGTTTTGAAGGATTTCAAGGAATTTGTCCAGCTAGGTCCAGCTTTTCCAGTTCCCTGTGTGGTGTTTACCCCTCAGCTTTCACTGCATCCGATGGGAGGGGAAGTGGAGAGAAGAGTGGAGGAGCTCTCCGGCCTCCATCGGAGTTTCTATGACACCAGACACGAGCGCCAGACACCACCACTCCAGCAGCTTCTCCCCTCTTCTGCTTCACTCTCCTGTGGCTCCATTCTCAATCATCCTGGATTTGCTTTGTGTTGCTTCTTTACTTTTCTTTTTTTTTTTCTCCCTGACTACTGCTCCTTCAGCTACAACACTGTTGAAGTGTGGTTCATGTTGGATTTTTTCTGGTTTAATTCTTGTCTCATTTTTTTTTTTGTTTTGGACAGACAACCGCCGTGCATACCTAGAAAGATCTCGGTCCCGCCACAACCCACATCACCAAGGTCGATGATCAGCCGGCGCTGACCACAAGAAGGTTAGAGGACCGCCATAGAGTCAGGCGGGGAGGCACTGAAGACGACCTGAAGGAGTAAGACGAGGCCATTCTGACCACCATGTTCCAGACACACACACACAATTTTTTCAGTGAAATTTTAGCCTGTATTTATAAATTTATAAACTTTAACTATTTAATGACAATTTTAAGCTTTTTAAGCTTTTATTCTCTGTTTTTTGATCTAGTAACTTCCATTTAGTATGAAGTTACGTAATGCTGGCATTCCAGTTTTTAGTGCAGTTCTCCCCGTGTGGGAAAACAAACTCTAGTTAGATTAGCAACACATTACATTTTAGCAATACTAGCTAGAAAGTTAGCCCTCCTAGATTGTAGTTTATTCTTGGAAACTTTGTTATCTCTAGCTACCAGGTCATCTGTGACAAACCAAACACACATTAGCATTTTCTGCTAAGGATTTTAGTGAGAAACTCTTGAGTCGAGGGTGAGTTGGAAACCCATCATATCACATTTGATCGACTGACCAATTTTGGGACATACAGTACGATTTAATAACCCCTGAAACTACAAGATGAGAGCAACTTTTATCCATCGTACATATCCTTTGTCTTTGGTTCTTATCTTCCTTCAGTATTATCTCGCTTCGTATGACCTCCGTAAATGATTACGGCCTTCGGCGCTTAAAAACTACATTAACACTTGACATATGTATGTAAGTACAAATACTCAACAACCATTTGTAGCTGCTGTTTGAAAATGTTTATCTTTAGCAGATGTGTATATGTATGTATGTACACACACATATATACGTATATATTTATATATATTATATATATTTATATATGTGTATAAACATACTTATATGTGTGTACATACATACATATACATATACACATATATTTGCGTACATATATACACGCATATATGAAGATTGCTCTAGGTTCTCGGGGCCAACTTTTGTTTATAGACACTGTAGTCTTAACAAGGACATAACCTTTTTTTTTTTTTTTCTCCATCTATTCGTTCTTGAAGGAAACTCATACACATCTTGCATTTATCAGAAAGTTTGTGTACAACACGATGCCAGCATGTATCGGCATACCTTCAGATATTTCACAACCTCTGTGGTCTTCAAAGTGTAATCTCACTTTGACACCAGGCTTTTTTTTAATTTTTTTATTTTTTTTTATTTTTAGCCCTGTAATATCTAACCCACGCCTCCAGTGCCAAACCCTGTCCCAAGGTCGATTTGGCTGTTAACATGAGAGAGTGACATTTTTCTAAATGTCTCCTAACCACCTGCAGAAACAGGAAACAGGAAGTGCGTGACTTTCCCTGCAGTCACTCTGTTCCACTGAGTGAACATCCATTTTTTTTTTCAATATAAGACCTACATTACTCCAACCTCTGTGTTAACTCTTTTAGTGAACACATGCATTAAACGTCAATATAAAATGTATGTATTTATTATACTTGCATTATGTCATTTTAAAATTATTACAACAAAAGTAACACATTGTAAGAAGTAAAAAAAAAACAAAAAAAAAAAAAAAAAACTAAGGGTTAATTCATTCATCCCACAAATATCAGTATGGATTTTTTTTTTTTTTTTTTACTATACAATGTTTGATGTGTGACAGTAATAGTAAAATCCATCTGATTTAGTGTTAAATTTTAAATTTCCTTTTAACATTTCATCCATGAAATAAAAACATATTAAATATTGAAGTTTTCAATATGAATAATAACAATATATTTGTAATTTACAATTGTTGTTTTTAATTTTTAATGTTAAACTATGTCCAGGTGACACTCAGACTGTAGGCATGATAAGGTTTTTAGATTTTTTTTAGTTTTTATGATTTTTAAAAATTTTGTTATAATTATTTCTTTTAAGGGCATGATAAGGTTTTTAGATTTTTTAAAATTTTGTTATAATTATTTCTTTTAATTTTAATTTTTTTTTCAAATATTTTTTTTTTCAAATAATTTTTTTTTTCAATAAAATAAATCTGTCAAGAAAAAGCCATTAAAAACACGTGGCTTTGTCAGTTCAGAGGAACAGGCACTAAAAATGTCACTAATCATGTCAGCAGTGATGCCTGTTTCCTAAGCTCTCTTCTGTCATGGCAGGATTTTGCTTCCTTGTAATCAGTCGGAAGCCGGGGAAAATAAAAAAAAATAAATGTAATTTTCTTCTGCTGGAGTTTTGGAGTGAATAGATGGAGAATATTAAGAAAAAGAAAAAAAAATCTGCCACTGCTGCTTGTGATGTGTTCTAGCATGCGTGCTTCTTGAAAATGCAATTTAACACATCATCTCAGCTGAAGGACAAGGGCAATAACAACAACAACAGCGGAGTAGATATGAGCTTCCTGCACAGATCTGCATTGTTAAACAACACACAGATAATCGTGCGCCGACACGGACTTTTATTCCCTTTGTTATCCTCTGAACGCCGCACCTGTGCAGCTCCACTGAAGGTCTGCTCAGTGCAAACATGTTTATGTGCCACACAATCAGTTCATTTATTTTTATTATTATTATTTCGCTTGACGATGCAGATGTGTTGTTGTTTAGTCTTAAACCTTGAACGTGCCATTTGTGCGTACTAGAAAGATACAATATCGATTAAGTAATACAAAAAAAAAAGAAATTATATACAGTGATCACTCTTCAATCGCCGTAGTTTCGTTCCAAGACCGACTCAAAATGCAACACTCGTGGCACTATGCCGTAGTTTCGTTCCAAGACTCAAAATGCAACACTCGTGGCACTAATTGCTAATGCTCAAAATAACGCCCTTAATGGGCCATTTTGATACAATGAAAACAAACATCAAAATCGCCCTTACTGTGCCATTTTGATACAATGAAAACAAACATATCATTGAATTGAATTATTTAATCAGAATGTTATGGACAAATAATGATCATAATTATCCCATCAGTAAAATCCACAGATATTGTAGTACTAGCAATAGTAGTATACAAGTAGTATATTGTTTATATTCAAATGTGATTCGTTTGGTTTTTTTTTTCTAATCCTAGGTGTTCCACAATATTTTTCTAATAGTTCTGGATGAAATAAAAATGTTTAATTTTTTTTTTTGTTTTTTTTTTAATTGTCGTTGTGGATGTACAGGGAGGAACTGTACGCTAAGACTTTGATCATTTTAAATAAAGTGTGATGACTGCATCGTAGAAATTAGTAGGATCCTCAGTGTTTGGCATTGTAGAAGTTTAACAATCTAAACCACTAGCACCGACTGAATAACCACGGGGAGATGTGTCATAAAACCTACATTCAGTGGAAAAAGACCTGATATAAAGTGAAATTTTCAGTATTTTAGTACTGACGTACTACAAAAAAAAACGTACCATTTCACAGCTACTTCTAACATCATGGCATCAAAAGTTGTCCACAAAGTTTTTACCCTTTGTTCAAAACTTCTACAATGACAAACTTCCTCATTAGTTGTGTAAAGTGTGGTTTTCCTTCATCCCATATTCAAGGTTAAAGATGTATGTTTTTGTAGGAAAAAAAAGCAGAATGAATAAAAAAAGAGTGGAGGGAAAAAAAGGAAAAGGAAAAAGAGAATAAACCAACACTAGCATCTCATCCTGTGGTCTTCAAGCTAGTGGCTAACATCCGTAATAGGACTAGGCTCATGGTGATTGTAAAAATAAGGCGGCAGGGCTATGGACTTTTTTTTTAAATTTTCTAAATATGTAAAAAAAATTTAAAAAAAAAAATATTAATTTTCTAAATATGTAAAAAAATTTAAAAAAAAAATATTAAGGTGCTATTCTGTTTGTGACCGGTGTTTAATTATTTTTCAATTTATAGTTTTGCGAGCTAACTTCCACTCACTGACTGTGCATTTTACCTCACAAAGTCCTTCCTCTTCTGCTGGAGGGAAAACGCTCCTCTGCATGTTTTACATTTGCCAATAACAGAGCGGAACTATTTGCATAGTATTTGCGCTGGTAAACAGTTCCCAGCTGCCACGTACTACATCGCGAGGAACTTCGTAGGAGAAGGTTTCCTTTCTGAATCGTAAACAAGCAAATGTGAGCTGCCACACTCTCCTGCCTGCCTTCCATAATCATTGTCTTTGTTTTATTGTCTGCAGAAAAAACATTTATATTTGTAACGTTTGAGTTTGTTTGTATTCCAAGGATGATCATGGGAAAAGAAAAACGCAGTTCTGCACACAGTTCTGTTTTTTTCGAGGAACATGTAACTAACTAATTACCTACGACTTTTTTTTTTGGAATAAACTTATTACTGAAACACACGGTGTGTTTTTTTTTTAGCATCTTTGGCATTTTAACTAAAGAAAAGTGTTTGTAATATTTAATTAAAATGGCTTTCATAAAAAAAACTAGTATATTTTTGAACATTTTGTTATTCGGAAGCTCATCACTATCTGGTTCTATTTACATTGAGAATCTAATCACACTTAATACCCACTGTACTGTACTGTACTGTACTGTACTGCACTGTGGTGATGATACTATGGCTATGGATGTTTTTTAGTTTTCTGAATATCTAAAAAAAAAACCCATACATACTTGTTTTTTTTTTTTGGTGATGTTTTGACACTGTCAGATTTGATGTTTTTTGTAGTTTTTAGCACAAATTATTCACTTAGCAGCATATTTTGGGGGCATAAACGTGCATATTGAAGAATTTCTGGGATTTTCATTTTTTAGCGTTTTTTTTTTTTTTGGAATAGTAAGACAATAGTCTTGCTTGTTTTGTTTTTTTGGTGAAAAACGTGAATAAATTCCAAAAAAATAAAGATATTTGTTAGCAATGGTTCCCCTTTAATTATAGGTGTTATTAAGGATCCATCAATGCATCGGATAGGCCTGTTCACATGGTTAACTGCCATCAGGAAATAAAGATGACATTCACTGATGGTGAACTATAAATATATTAGCAACTAATCAGTAACAAATATTGTCCCTTATCGCAAATTGATGATAATTGCCAATTTTTTTTTAATCTGCCAGGAGTACACAGCCAACGCCAAAATACCAAAAATTGTTGTCATGGCAACCACGTGACTGACAGGCTTCTCAGCCTCAGTCAACTCCTTCACTGGCAAAAAAAAAAAAAAACAAACTTGTGAAAACATAGTACTTTAACATTTTATTTTGTTTCGAGTTTTTATTTTACTGTTGATGTACTTTTTTTTCACCATTTTTTTCTTTTTTGGGGGTCAATGTAGGAACTTCTCATCCAGTACGTCTTTGTTTATCAGTTCAAAATGTCTCTGAAAAATATCTTTTCTCTGAAAGTTATGAGTCTAAGAGGGTTTTTTGAAAGTTCTTTTTCAGCAAAGACCTTGTCATGGGAACTAAGGTTTAACTAAAAATTCACGTTAAAGTTTGTTTTTGTTCCGTAAATGTGTCTGATTGAATTTGTGCTCATTCAAGGAGAATGTGATGAAGAGCTAAAAGGCTTTTAAAATAGTTCCGTAATGTTGCTGTGGCACAAAAGAGGGAATGAATAAAGAAAAAGAAAAAAAAAACAAAAAAAAAAAACATTGGTTATCTAAAACCTTTTATTGGTATCGGCCCAGAATTCTACAAGTAAATAGATCACAAAATGTATTTATTTTATTTTATTTTGAAAAACTAAAATAAAAATAGTGGACCCACAAAAAGGAACACATTTAATAATGTCTGATTGGAAAATGTCCCACTTCAGGCTTCCGTAGCACACAGTGGTAACACCCTTACACTGATGAAGTGAAAAAATGGCTTTTGATTGAAAATGGACCTGAACATGATCCAAACTGTCTGTAAAAGATTTATTTTACACGGGCAATAAAGTTGCGTTTTCTAACTCGCTGACCTCCATCGGTCAGTGTCAGCAGGAGAATTCATCACGGCGTTTGTGCCAACGTTTGGAGCAGAGTGACAGGAGACACACCTGCTGTCTGGGACGTAGACGTTGGAGGATGGAAAGAAGAAAAAAGAAAAAGAAGAAGAAGTGTTGGAGGACGGAAAGAAGAAAAAAGAAAAAGAAGGAGAAGAAGAAGAAAAACACATAGTTTATTGCTATTAAAGTGTTAAGAAAGTGTCGGCACAAACAGGCAGAAGAGGTAAAAACTGATAAAGATGAAGAAACATTTGTCTGAATGTTGGGAGAAAGAAAAAAACCCTGACTGGCTGTCAGTGCTGAAGAGAAACAGGACCTTTGTACATTTGTCACTGTGTCACTGACAGAAACCAAAGAAAATACATCTAGCTATCGCATTTAGAAGCTATATATTTCCCAGGTTTTACACTATGGGAATATATCATTTGTATTTGTTTGTTGTTCTACTTTTTTTTGTCATATCCTTAGCCCTACTATACTGTAATCTCATTTCCTCAAGTAATTGATTAATTTATAATTGAATAATATTATTAATAATAATAATAATTATTAATTAATATTAATATTTGAACCTAATATTTTCCATTGGGATGTTTGGGTTTTTTTAAATTCTTTTTTCACTTTTTTTTTACGAATTACTAAAAATATAT